CTCTTAACAACATGGGCGTCGTCTACGAAAGCTGTAATCGACGAAAGAAAGCACTTGATTGTTATCATCGATCTTTGGCGATCTACCAGAAAATCCTACCTGTCGGCCATATAAGTCGTGAAAAGATTGAAAAGAATATTCGTCGGCTCTTGTCAAAGAATTGAAGAAATGTATACGTAGAATGTTTTGTATTAGGCTGGCAAGACATTTGGCGTGTGGGTATGGGGTAGGTGTGTGGGTGTGAGTGTAGGTGTGGGTGTGGGTGTGGGTGTGAGTGTAGGTGTGGGTGTGGATGTGAGTGTAGGTGTGGGTGTGGGTGTGAGTGTAGGTGGGGGTGTGGATGTGAGTGTGAGCTTAAACAAAAACTTTAGACACCCACAGCCATCCTACTTCTGAACATACTATTGCTACTTTTCATCGGTTCGTAAACGTTAATCTTGTAAAAAAGAAAATCCAGAAAATTTAATTGTTACAAATAGATTACCAAAACTCTGTAATTGATATATTGTAAGGTGTACGTAATTGAAAAATCGAGCAAAGAATCTTTTTTGTGTGATATTCATATATGGTTAGGTAGAGCTCGACGAGCTCTATCTAACCATATATGAATATCACACAAAAAGAAATTATTTGCACGATTTTTCAATTACGACATGTACATTTTATTTTAATTTAAAATTTTAATTCAAAATACAAAATGTTTAAATTGGATTTTCTTTAGTTGAAATAGTTTTTTTTTGAAATTTGTTTTTGTAGTGATGAATGGCTTGCACCAGAACGATTACCAATTCGTTATTATGATATTTCTTCATGTTTTCGTCAAGAAGCTGGCTCTTATAGTCGTGATACGTGTGGTATTTTTCCTGTACATCAATTTGAAAAGGTTAGTATTTATTTAATTTCTTTGAAAAATATCTATATATTGATTATATTTCAAGATTGAACAACTCTGCATTACTTCTCCACATGATAATCAATCATGGAAAATGTTCGAAGAAATGATTCTCAGGTCAAGTCCGCACGGTCGTAAATGGCCGTATACCAATAATTTACGACGAAAAACGATAACTGTTTACAGTGACCGTTTACGACAGTCGTATACGACGTTTTACAGTATATTACGCTCATCATAAACAATGACCGTACACGTTCGCCGTCCTACGACTACTGTAATAGTACGACGACTGTAAACGATACTCGGAGAGTACCGTAAGATATCGTAAACGCCAGCTGTAAACGGTGACCCTTTACGACAGTCATTTACGATGTTTTACGGTATGTTACGCCCACCGTAAACAGTCGTTCACGACGAAGAACTACTTTCATTAAATATAGTGGCGAAATCAAAACTTCGCTACTAGAAAAGCTGAGTTTCCTACTACTTTTTTCAAATCTGTCAAAAATAGTACAAATTTTTATAAAAGCTTCTGACATCGACGCCATCCTTTCTATAGAGCATCTTATGAGAAAACAATTTACCACAATACATCCATGTTGTAACTAACTAGTTAATTATATGCTTGTGGGTGTGGGTGGGTGGGTGTGGGTATGTGTGATGAGAAGATATCCACATCCACACCCACCCACACCCACACCCACACCGACACCCACACCCACACCCACCCACCCACACCCACCCACACCCACACCCCCACACCCACATCCCCACACCCACACTCACACCCCTAAATGAATTATCAAGTGATACTAGATCGATCAATAATGGTAGACAATATCCTGTTGCTTTTATAAAATTATTTACAATACCAATTGGATCGATATCACATGTTAACATGGGCGGCGCAATTTCGATTTTTTAGGGAAAGTAATAAACCTTAAAATGAAACTATATTCCTCCTCTCCACACACCATACATTCACAGTAAACCGTTCGGTATTATACATTTTCTAATGCGTGATTTCTGAGAGACATAATATAATATTTGAGAGTTGAGCATTAATTTATCTGTCATTAGCAACAGATTAAGAGTTTCAGAGTAGTATAACGCTTTTTTAAAGAAGATCTACTCAAAATGAATTAGTAACAATTTAGCTTGTTGCCAGCACCTACTGTTCACTGACACTGCGGTTTTTCATGTAGTGCTAACCCCTCCCCCCCCCCCCTCCACAGAATAGAAGCCCACCCTATAATAGAAGCCCAGTCTTAAGGCTATAACTTTCCAGACATATTAGGAACCCACTCTGTCCAAAATGAGCACAAAATAAAGAATTTTAAGAATTGGATAAATTACCCGTTTGTCTCAATAACTTCATTTTGATGACAAAGATAATCAGCGAATAAAGAACGCAACATTATTATTATTCTCATGATGAGCGATCAACATTACAGGCTCAAGAAAAATGAAAAATTCAACATTTTTCACCTAATCTCGATCAATTTCATCCAGTACGGAATGTGTTTTTCATGCGGGATCACTATTTCCGACCATCCTCAGCAGAGAAGACATGAACTGATGTGTGTGCAATAAGGATTTCTGTAGCACTCTCAATAAAAGAGATATGTGTGTGTATATATATAGTGATGCAAAATCCCGAACAATCTTCGAAAAATTTCTTTCCAAAGACTAAAATCGTTTCAAAATAGGTTTTAACAATTGGAGAACACTTTGTGAGGAATTGTTTCAACGTGGAGAAAAAAATCTCTGTGGCGAAAAAATCGTTTGAATTGATATTTTTGACTGGAATTTTCGAGATTTCACGTTACTACCAATTTTGTCGTTTTCGTTTCCTTGTATAAACTTTCAATATTGATAACAAATCAATTCATTCTTTTACTAATCTCCTTAATTTTCGTTAAAATGAAAAAACTTTTTCATTTGTATGTATGTAGTATGTCAGTTGCTATTATAAGCTATTCAATACTATTATAAATAAAGCCTAGTATGGCTGACTAATTATATCTGATTATTTAAGTATAACTTTTATCCGCAGATGTTCTTAGTATACACTTCCTTCAATTGATTGCTAATCCTGGTATAACCTTCATTATAGACATCTTTTCTTCTCCTAGCTCTATTTAATAGAACATATTATTATGTTTTTATTTTCTTCTGATCCTGTATTCTAGTTTACTTGTACAAACGTTTCAACATTTCTGTGTCACAGGTTTTTAGTTAATCAACGCAAGACACCAATAAATACGTGAATATGACATAATACATGAATAATATTAATAATAACAGTTCTCAGTATAGAATTAATTCCATGTATATTCCACAACTATCTTTTTCACGGAGTACCTCTCTGGTTTATTCACAAAACATATCACACTCGAATTCCTCTTCATTCGACATTAGAGAACTAAATGACATATCTACATGAATTTATATTCATTGATCTACACCCTCATCATTATATCTTGGAATAGGGTTTTGAATAACATTATATGGACTTAATTATTTCATTGTACACGATGAATTAATCTATCAATGCTATTCTTTTTTGGAATGAAAAGACATCGAATACATATTTAGAACAAATTCAACTACCTATTCAACGTCATCATATTCATCCTAATAAAGTACCTAATGAAGAATTTGATTTACTTCTTAACAATTAAAATAAATAAAAGAAATGTCAAAATCAACATCTGATATTTTATTTTATTTCGAAATAATAAAATACCTCAAGGAATTCTTCAGCTAAATTCTAACGTTTATATCAGTTCTTTTTCTATTTTAATCAAAGAAAAAAAGATTTCTCATACCTTCACCCTCAATATATTATTTCATCGTAGATTGCTGATTTCTGCAGCAATGAATACAGTCCATCATGAAAAAATAAATAACCAACTTTATCAAAGTATCTCCTTTTATTGAAAAAATTTTTAAGACAAGTTACATGTAACACGAAGGAAAATATAAATGAAAATTTTCTGGAAGAACATACGAGCCACATATAATAAGACGTTGCAAACGAGCACAAGTGAGACGTGTCATATCATTGGTAAAGTTGTTTGTTATCATTGCTAGTGATTCATAAGTAATTATCAGGTTCAACAAAGAAGGCAGATGAATTTTTGTGTCACAGAGAAATTGAGCACCATAATCAACATTTGTCCTTTGAAGATCGAGACTACGAAGATAAGGAAAGGTGACGATTGTAGATGAATGTTGTTTTCTTTTTTGTGGTTGATAATTACATATAACTAGTGTATGAAGAAAAGGAAAAGAATGAGAGATGATTTGAAAAAGTTCATGTTCAAAAGGATGTTCTATTTCACCCATCATCACACACTGAACTTTATCAAATATACCACCGTGAAAATGACAATTCACATAGAAACAATCAAATTGATATGGAAGTGAATAGATATGGCATGTACTTCCTTTTTCTGATTCCCTGTGAGTATATGAATCAATTTGTTGATATCCTCTTTTGACAAAACTATGTTGAATATCATTGTTTGATGGAAGATTAATTATATCTTTATTGAAAACAAGAGTATTTATACAGAAATTAAATTTGGTTAATCGTGGCATATGAATAAGAATTCCATCATATAAATGAGTACCATCAATATAAGTCGATTCAATTCTTGTTATCGCTAGATATAGTGTTAATTCTTCAAGATTGGACATTCGACAGAGTAATGGCACAACTCGACTGTCATAAAAATATGTTCGACTATAAGCAAGTAATGAAAAACATTTGAGTTTGCGAAGTTGTTTCTAGAAAGAAAAATAAAGAATAAAAGACGTATTTCTAATTTAATATTTATTCATAATACAATAATTAAATGTATTCTTACTGTATTATCAATATTTGATAATGGAGTGGAAATTTCACGAATATTAATGATCAATATAGATAAAGAATCAAGACGCCCATCAAGAATATAAAGACAATCATCAAAAGTATCGACATTAATATTCAATTTAGTGAGCGTTGAAGAAACACAACTTGTTGATGGCATATAAAAAATTGAAATCCGTGAATTTGTACAACGAAACCATTGACGAAAAGTCAAATCAGTTAGGCATTTGCCTGTCGATAATATTAATGAAAATATTTCTGATTCATTTTCATCATTTAGGGCTGTTGTTCTTCGATCAATGATGTTAATATCAAGATGTGTGATTTGATTAGTGAGAAGATAATGCAGTTTTGTATTACCTTCAATGTACAGAAATGTTTTGTTGATTAAATTAGTGAAAGTTAAAAAAGTATACCTGTTAAGTATGGTAAAAGTGTATCTGGTTGCAAATTGACAAGTGATAATGAATAAAGTTGAGGATAGACAATAGCACGAAGTGTACTTTTTATAGAATGTTGATCAAGAGTGAGTTTGTTTATTTTATTATTAATTCGAGGCAAAATTTCTTCACAAATTCTATCAAGAACTTGACTGCCTACTGAAAAGTTATTCTCAAACAATGATTTAACCCTTAAATCTAGATGATGAATATAGAAAGAATCGAGTACTAGTCGATCAAATCGTTGATTTACACCCACCAATGAATAAAGTATGTCGACCATATTTAATTTGTTGATGATAGCAAGTAATATTTCTTCGGACAAATCGAGTATATTGATATCATTTATGTCTACGGTAGACATGTCGAGCGATAATTGTTGATACAGTTCAATATTCCGTGATCTATATATACACATGTGTTCATTTGTTCGCTGCCATCGGTGAAGACAATGAAAAATAAATGTGCATATTGTCATGTTGAGCAATGGTGTTATTTTTCTTTCTGCCTAACATTTTCCTTCATTTATAGCTTGTCAATTCTTCAGATTAACAATTATTCGCTTTTAATTGTATCATACTTTTATGTCTATTATACTTTAAATAAAATCGAATAAATCAATTGAGCATTGAAAATTCATAGAAATATTATAAAACCTATTTTTCATCACAGGTTATCATTTCTAGAGTCTGATAAACTCAAAAATAAAATAAAAAAAATGTAACAATGATAAAAAGTTATTGATAGATTATGTTCATCTAAGTTTTAAACCAACTTGTTAAAGGAAAATAAAATGAACAACAAAAAAGGAGATCAAATTAGGAGTTTCACCTCTGTTGATCATCTAACATTATTGTGACGGCCTTTGTGCGCCATCTCCATTACATCCGTGACCGAGAACATCTGTCGGACACACATACATACGTGTTGATTATTCTTTTCTCTATTTGTGCGCTTCTGATCTTATTCTGACCTTAGTTCTTTGTTCGTGCTACATGTATCCTGCATTATTCGTAGAATAAAACATAGGCAAGTTAGGTGTTTCATCACGATTATTAAGACGATATTTTCAAAAGTTTTAAGATATCTATTGTGAAGTATCATATAAATTCAGCGTTCGCTTTATAGTATTCTCTTCATCTTTTTTGAATATTGATCACATATACTCTTGAACATGCCACACAACAATATGCATTACTTGTCAAAGAACAACGTCAAAAAGTGATTAACTATGAAAAATTACATGATAAATGGATAATGCATATAAATATAAATTGAAATCGTTTAATAGAATTATTTAATAGACTTAGTAAAATTGAACAATCTATGAACAATACAAAAAATATTTTTCAACAATTTGATCATAGCAAATTATCATTAGAACCGAATATATTAATTCATTATAATGGTATTAATTTATTTATATAACGATGGTCAGTGTTTCTTTTTTTTAATATTCTAAAAAGAAAAGAATCTTTTGTTTGTTTTTCAGAAGAAAAAAGAACAATTATACTGATATTAATAGTTTATAAACTTTTTCAATTAAAAATTTTCGTCGATTATATGGCCAATCATGAATAATATATTTCAATGAAACAAGATCAATCATTGAAATTTTTTCAATTATTTCATTTGGCCATTTTTCATCAAAAAAATCACCAGCTACATATTGAACATTTGAATGATCTATCGTTAATGATAAAGCATAACAAGTCACTTCAGGTAAATCAAGACTTAATGCAATAATATGTGGATATCGTTTAACAATTGTTTGACTAAGATCACCTAATGAATCACCAATATCAAGTAATGTTGAATATGATGAAAAATCAACATGATCGCATAATTCATTTATTGTACGGTGTTTAAAAGAAGACATTATTTGTGCAAAATAAATCATTGCAGCATGTTTTTGTTTAAATATCGTCCAAAGACATGATTCTTCATTACTTTCTTTACTTGTTCTTATACCATATCGTAATGTTTCATTCAAACGAAGAAAGAATGTATATAAACGATAATGATCCCAAACACCAATGCGTAAATCAACATAATTTGGACATGATGAAACAAGATATGTACGTGTTACATTTGTACATTCATAACGATTGAAATTTGAACATTGTTTAAGTAAACGAAGATAAACAAGATATGATAACATTGTTAATGAGATTTTAGATTTATCCATTTCTTCATATGATAATGAGTAGAGGTGTAAGCCGTGCGGCTGAGCCGCCGTCGCCGCCGATAAACTCGAAAAATTTTAAGCCGCCGCCGCCGTGACAGTAGAAATTTTAGAAATTTTTAAGCCGTCGCCGCTGAGGCACTTTAATTACAGCCGCCGCGCCGCCGATAGTATTCGAAATTTTAAAATTATCGAGCCGCCGCCGGCGGCAACTATTGTAAATATCGATAACATTTCATTTATATTTTCCTTAATTCGATACTTTTACATCTTAGAACCCCAATATATCTCTTTTTCATTAACTTTCTCGCCTTCACCTTCATTTTCATGCTGGTTCCCTGACCAATCAGATGCTTGGGGTTCTAAATTGTGAATGAACCCTTAATTCTGTGTTGGTTGAAAATTCTAAGTTATCATTTTAGTTTATGTCTCTTATATTAGATATATTTATAAATACAAGAAGAGACGAGCATTTTAAATTTTAATTAACAAAAACAAAATAAAAACAACAAACTTGAGTATGCTAGGTGCTTTTACTTATTAACAATCGTGGTGGTGATTTCTCATTTATTATTTATCCTGGCAATTATATTTATTTTTAATTATAGACTGTTTTATTATGTCTAGATGTGAAATAAAGTTTTTTCACATGTGTTTGAAAATAAAAAGGCCAAGATATTGAAATAGGCCTTGTCTACACTAAAAATTTTGACGCTGAATTAAGAAACATGATTGGTTGTACAGTTGATAAATATTTAAAACACTTTTAAAAAGTGCATTAAATTTATTGCACATTTCAGAACAACATTAAATTTGATGCACCAATCAATGTCTGATTCGATTTTCTAATGAGACTGACACAGTTTTCAATGGACGAGTCCTCTATGATTGAAGTGAACAAAAACCACGATTCATTTCGACGTCTAGGATTCTGATTGATGCATTAACTTTCAAATGTAGACACGAATTGATGTAACACGAATTTGATACTACATTATATTCCTAGTGTAGACAAGGCCATAGACTAATATTTTTATGATAATGTAGTACTTTTTAAACTTCAAGCCGCCGCGCCGCCGATGGTATTCGAAATTTTAAAATTTTCGAACCGCTGTCGCTGTGCTACCTTAGAATATCATATCTGCGCCACCGAGCATTTTTTAAAAATTTTAAAAAACTGGCGCCGCCGCCGATCAGTCTATCGGCTTACACCTCTAGATACAACAGTGAAAACTTCTTTCAATGTAAAATGATTGACTCAGAATTCGTCAATAAATGATCATTGATAAAAACAAGAGATTCTTTTGTTTATTTTCAATAATTGTCATTGAAAATAAGCAAATAAAGAGAATAAATGTCAGTTGAAGTGATTTGATTGTTTGATAGAATAAATGTGATCATTTATTGATAACGAAACCAATTGATCGTCTTCATTTAAATAAATTCATCTTTTAATTGAATAATATCAAATAGAAGAAATAGTCTACTCTCATTATCATTGGAGAATGTTGGATTTTCATCGATCTATGATTTTTATTGAAGTTTTTATAATCAATATTCTTTCTTGTCTAGATCATTTACTCTATTT